CATCGTGTTATCTCCAGGAGGCGTCGGCTGCGTTTGCACAACCACACTTTGCGACGCGGCTAAGCGATGTTGTCACTGGTCCCGTTAATTAGGGGGGCAATCGTGGGGTTGATTCTAAGGGCTGATGTATCGCCCCCCCTCCCCCCCGAAGCGCGCTACGAAAGTGCGACCAATTTAGTGTTGTTCTTTTTGGTGCGCCAGCGAACGCCGGCTGTGGTTCAAAGAACGAGGCAGAGCCGAGAGTTAATAACAAAACCAAAAATGTATTAACATAAGGCAGAACAAACAACACACAAACGTGTACACTCGGCAATAATCAAATACAATACCACTCACAGGGTACTCCCACGCAGTAATATTATTCCTGCTCTGTGGGTACTTAATTAATATATGCAAAATAACAGGCACAAACAACAAGCGCTGCACTGCAATCTCGTGCATTAACTAACCAAGATACTTATAGGCTAAAATGTTCGACAAACGTATTCAGTCCAAAGTTCTTGGAACAAACCTTGAATGCTTCTCTTCAAGGAAACACTCACGCAAAATCCAGCGCCGGTTGTGTTCCCGCTGCGCCCGAGGTTTCTTTCCAGGAAACCCTCGCGCCGTCAACTGACCGCACTTAACAAAACTTCTTCGCTGGAAACGCATCGGCCTCTCACGCGCTGCTACTGTATAGGTCACGTCTTCGCCCACTGGCGGAAAACCACACTTAAACTCTTTGTCACTGACAAGGCTTCACCCACTGGTAGAAAGCACACTTAATCTCCTGCTTTAAGACAAGCCTTCACCCGCTGGTGTAAAACACACTTCTTCACCTCCTCCTGATTGTAAGACAAGCCTTAACCCACTGGTCAAACACACACTTAATCTCCTCCTGCTTGGTCACTGTAGAACAAGCCCTCGCCTCGTTGCGGAAAACTACCTTCATCTCCCGATCGCCACCATCCACCGCTCGTTTACGTTCGCCCTGCGTTCGCCGGCGCACTGCTCAGCCAAAGCTGGAGAAGAGGCGGGACCTTTCTAGAAAACTTCCGTGACGTGTGACTTAACCAAGGAGTGCCTCGCCGCTTCTCGATATTAAGTGTGAATACACTTTATAAGCGACCCCTAACCATCCACCGCCGTCGGCGGCGTCCGCAGTCTTCTCTCTATCTTTAAAAGAAAGAGGACTTGGCGGGCCGCAGCGCGACGCTCTACCGAATAAGCCACGGACGCGACGCTGATATCGGTTTCAGTAACGCGCCTTATACCCCCTCCCCCATCGCTCGCTCCTCCGCTCTCCTCGCTCGCTGCAGCTGCGCGCGCACCCCTCTCTCTCTCGCGCCCGCCTTCTCTCTCAGTCTCCCGTCGAGAGCGGATCGTGAGGGGGAGTAAAGTTAAAATCCGTTGGCATTCGCCAGTGAGTTCACGTAAACTCCCCCGTGTGATCAAATTGCGATTCCCAGGAACCATTACACCATAAAGGCACCATAGTGTGATTAATAAATATAATAGTGCGAATTAATAAATACCCCTCATAGCATCACCCCGTGTATTCGCACTTAACCATGTTCGCCCTCGGGGAAATGCTTGGGAGTTTTTTCTAGAAATCGCTCGGCGATATATGCGAGGAGCTTGGGCGGCATGGCGGCGTCGTTTTCGAGGGCAAGAGTCGCGCGCGCTCTTTGTCTTTTGACGCTTGTTTCTTCTTTACGCCGACTTCTGTCGCGTCTGCTTGGGACCTGATTTTACGTAGCCGTTAGAAATCGGAGGCGCACGCTTTCGTGAGCGCTCGTTTTTGACAGATGCAGAGATCCCTACTGTGCCACTGGAGTCACTTGTTAGCCAAACCGAATCAGCTTACAATAAACGATCACATAGCACTGTACTTGCGTGGTTTTGGAAACAGATCGCTTGTGAGGTCGAGTGTTGCGAGAGAATCCGCGGTCGTGTTTCTGTTTATTGTCTTTTTAAGTGTGAATACACTTTATAAGCGACCCCAAACCATCCACCGCCGTCGGCGGCGTCCGCAGTCTTCTCTCTATCTTTAAAAGAAAGAGGACTTGCCGGGCCGCAGCGCGACGCTCTACCGAATAAGCCACGGACGCGACGCTGATATCGGTGTCAGTAACGTAACGCGCCTTATACCCCCTCCCCATTCGCTCGCTCCTCCGCTCTCCTCGTTCGCTGCAGCTGCGCGCGCACCCCTCTCTCTCGCGCGCCCGCCTTCTCTCTCTGTCTCCCGTCGAGAGCGGGTCGTGCGATGGATGTCCCGGAGGGAACGCTACCATCTGGATATAAGGCGCGTTACTGACACCGATATCAGCGTCGCCAACGGATTTTAACTTTACTCCCCCTCATAGCATCAACCCGTGCATTCGCACTTAACCATGTTCACCCTCGGAGAAATGCTTGGGAGTTTTTGTGCCTTTATACACCTTTTGACTGCAACAAATGAAAGGGGTTTGACTTGATCCTCCAGCAAACTTGAAGCTTAAGTTTGCGGAGCGATGACAACGCCGTGCCTGGCCCTGGCGGCGAGCTCCGGAACACTTGAGGAGAGACGCGGAGAGAGAGATTGTGGTTATATCAGAAGAAAAGAAAAGAAAGGAGCCGACCCGTAACTGTCTCTCCTTACGAGGACACCTCAACAGGTCAGCAGAGGAATGGGATATGGGGAATAAAAGATATAGAGAGAAGGAAGGAGGGATAAAAAGAATAGAAGGAAAATAGACGGATAAGAAGCCGCCAGCCAACGAGAGGAAAAAAGAAGGAGATAGGAAAGTGGGGATCCGGTCGAAGCAGTCCAAGGGCGGGGTGCCACAATGCGAGAGCTGCACGGCATCAGGAGACCGCGGAGGGCGAACCAGTCGGCGGGAGCTACGCTGAAGTCGGAGATCGCGAGGGCACAACCGTCCAGCTTGAAATCCTCCGAGCGAATGCGAGACGCGGGAGAGGTCTCAGGCGACTGGGGTGAGTGAGTGTGTTTCGCCGAAACGGGAGCGTGTGCGACCCGCGCGCAACACGTTCTGCAGTCGGTGCGGGGAATTTGGGCGTCGTGCCGTCGGCTTGGCTAAAACAAGACGCTCGCTGTGCGTAGTTGCCTTTCCGCGATGGAAGAAGCGGCCCCACGGAAGCGTCGGCGAAGTCCGAAGTATTGTGTTGTGGGCTGCCACAACAATGCAGAAAACACCAAGGGACGCTCTCCACGATAAAGCTGTATCAGTTTCCCATCTAGTCACAGCCGGCGAACACAGCCGCGTTCACGAAAGACAGAGGAAGCATGACATGAGCTAGCCGGGAAAAAAAAAAAAAAAAGGCGAGCACTTCAACTTGACTCGCTGCGATTAAACTTACCTTGCTGCTTCGCGGCGACGTCAGCGGGTTATGCGCGGCACGGAGAGCATGACTCCAAAACTTCTCGGACGTTTTAATGCCATGACCGTAAATAGTTTTCATTTATTTTTAAGCACGCCGCAAATGTTTGCACATGAAAGTACATGGCTCCTACTGCTAGATACCACATCAAAACAACAATTATATGGTTTCCATAAGCGTCAACAAAGTGACATCCATGGAGTACGCGGCTTCGTGTCGGCAGAATGAGACTTACCTCGAGGCATACGTGGTACACGTTATTATCACGGAGGACCCGATAAAGGCATTTCGCAGTGATTCGGGCGTCCTCGTCTTCCGTCGTCTGCTCCACATCATAAACTCGACTAATGAGCTTTATTCCTTCCTGAGATTCGCTTCTCGGAAGTGCTTCTCCAACTCAGAGATCCTTGTGAAGCGGCACTGCAGGCGGTGCATTGGGAGGTGACTCAAACGCAGTGCGAGCTCTTTGCACGCGCACGTAAGCGAGCGGAAGCGCATTGGAGCGAAGGGAAAACACGCGATATACATCCCCAATTTCAACTTTCCTACCAAAGATGGCGCTGCCTGTCCGATGTCGCAGCGCCACCGTGCGTTGCTTTGGCTTTCTATCAAGCAGCAGTTGTTAGCATTAAAGCAATAAACCAAAACCGTGATTTCCGTTCGAAAGTCATTCTCTTCACGTGAGTTAACCTAATGGCCTGCGGCACACATGATTCCGAAAAGAACTGGACCTGGTTGATTTGACTACGCCAATACTCTCTCTCCAGCAACATGATGTGTTGGTGCGGTTAACCACAATCGCACTGCGGAAAACGCGAAACCAGCAGAGCTAGGCGTCACCGATGCTCCAGCCTGGCGCCGGCCTATTACTATGTCGGGTCAGAACCCACGGTCGCGAGGGCTCTTGCGGTCCTCGCGTTGCTGCAGAAGCCGGTGGCGGAAGCGTTGAATAACGACACACGTTCATTTGCGTAACCAAAATACGCAAGTGGGGGGGGGGGGGGGGGGGTAGCAGCTGCGATGACAAACAAGTCCCTGGCAAAGCGTCCAAAGTCATCCTTCCTCCGTGTGACGTATACCCTAGTCAGTGTGGCAATTGAAAATTAATAATAAAAGAAAGGCGTAAGTAGTTCAACGTGCACCAGGGTGCGCAAGCCACATAATTGAGTTTCTAAGATGTGTGTTTAGTGTGTCAGCTGATTACGAGATGAATACTATAGTTAGGATGAAACACAGAAGCATGTTCACAAATTCAAGTTGATACATTCCAGCATATATAAAAAATGAATGGAAACTTTTCACATTAAGGCGAAGCCGTTGATGATCTCGTGTGTGATTGAGGTACACGGGACTGAAACGTATTCATGGCAATATTGAAAAAAATATATGTGAATTGACTTGTTTCCAACAATCATACTCATAACTGCTGGATTACGGTTAAGGAAATCTGAAATGTGGTTGTTCGGGTGAATTCAAGTGCATTCCCCCTTTCGACGTGTGGCAAATTAAGCGCAAGAACAATCGCGTACGCTCGGCTTAATGTGCACGTTAAACACGCGCAGGCGTATATTTGATTCTGTGCTTGTGTATTGTCGATTTTCTATATGGAATGTTAGCTTATACACTCCTTCTCCTTGCAGCTTCGGCAAGCGGTCCGCTGACACGGGTCGCCGTGTGTGCGAATGCATCACCCTGGAGCCCTCCGAGATGGTTGTGGTGAGTAGACGCAACGTCTTGCCCGCACGCCTCCTCCGCTCGCCGCGCCCTCGCGTGGCGTGCGAGCGCATCTGCATCACCGCATGCTGCGTCACCGTTTCCGTCGCACTGAGAGTGCGCAAGTACTTCACAGCGCCATGCGCTGAGGAGTCTTTGCGCATCCGAAGCTGCGAGCGCGGCCCCTCCGAAATGCCCTCCCTCCGGGGTCCCGAGTCCCCAAAGCGTCTGACCTCAAAGGGACACTTATGTAGGGCAATTTGGAAGCAACCCTTTCTCGTGCATGTTGCGCATCCACTACCGACAAAGTGTGTCTCTTTTTTTTTATTTAGTATGCCTCGGAGCGCTTTGGGTCTCGCAAAAGCTGTGAATGGGCCGGTTGAGAAGGTGCGCCAGGGAGCGCCGAGTGGAGCGGCGGCGATGCGTCATACTCCAGTCTTGCCGCCTCTCCCTCCTTCGAGGCAGCGGCCTGAAAATCTGCACGCGGTTACCAAGGCCACGCGGCGTTCTGTGTGCCGCCGTGCGTCTCGTTTACACGCCCGGCGCGTGACTCACGTTACGTCACCATGACGTGGCACCGTATACATCAGCACACAGGTGTCTAGATGGGCTTCAGGTCGCCCACGTAAGACTTGCGAACAGCTTCTTCCCCCGCCGGTGCAAACGCCGCCACGGAGGCACCGATCTCATTTGTTACGAAGTGAAGTTGGGCAAGATCCGAGGTTGCGGAGTAATTTACCTGAGAAACGGCCCTTAGGGGCCAAGGGCGGCGTCTTTGTTATCTTTTAGGTGCTTGATGGGATGCGAGTATACAGAGGCGGATCTTTTATTGAGCGGCTATGCAGACAGGGAAGCAGACGAAAGAAATGGTAGTACAGGGTACGCGCCGACGATCGATTTGTTAAATTGCAGTCTTTGTATTCGGCTCTGGGAACGACAGGGTGAATTACGTTGCATCAGGTTACAGAATAGATTGGGTTTGGCGAACGTCGGGGCCGAGTTCAGCCTTGACAAAACGTGGAGGAAGGTTCTATATGGTGGCTATTACCTCTCTAGACTGTGCTCTGCAGTGAGGCCAACTTGATACGAGGGCCGCAAGCTGGCAGCCTCTTTGCATAGAGGCCCGCACCTGATAGGCGGAAATTACGGATGATTACGCGTGACACAAGGGGTCATATATATATATATATATATATATATATATATATATATATATATATATATATATATATATATATATATATATATATATATATATATAGTTTTCGGTTTTCTGAAATTTGGCAACGATATGGTGTTGTTGTGGATGACTCTAAATATTTCGTCGTGTAGATATTGCGGCGATCGTTTAAAAATAATCGAGAAGAAGTGGGACTGCACACCATGTGCTGAAGACGCAGTTACAAGTGCTCTATTTTGTTCCGTGTGCGTGCGTTTTAAGTGGCCCAACGTGTATTGTTTATTTATTTAATGCAACGCCTGCTATTACTCTTATTACTCTTCGCGTATTTATTCCTCAAGGGGAAAATTGCTCAAGATTATTTTCCCATATAGTGCATGCGCTATGCTAACGCTGTCCTTGACACGTGCCTCGTATCTGAGCTTCCATATTTGTGTCCGCTATGCGTAGAGCTCTAATGTGGTCGCCCCTTCCCCCCAGCCGCTATGCTTCCGACCACGTGTCGCCGATCGACCGCACTTACGAACCATGTACTGTTCTTCCGCGGGGGTGGTTCAGATTAGATATGCTTCGCGTTTTCGAGCGCCATCTGCTAGGTATACATACATTTAGCCCAGCGCGATACGAGACGATTCGCCCTTTCAATTGGTGTTATCGGGAAATACAGAGGTACCTTTATTGTCGTTATTCGTGTTTTGAAGCTTCGTTTGAACTTCAGTTTTGCTGTGCTGTTCGATCGTATAACGAACCGGTCGTTTACGGTTCGTTCCGCGAGGCAGTGTTCGGAGGCTGTACAGATAGCGATCGTCGCGCTCCAAGCGGCCCGTGTGTATGCATGGGGTCTCGCGTACTCGTAGCCCGATTGATTTTGCGTGCCCACCCTTTTTCCCTTATCTCGTTCGCGTGAGCCTTCAAAATGAGAAGGATGCTTTTTCGTGTTACCTTTCGCTTGTCACGTGCGTCCGTGCTTGCGTTTCCGCAAGCTCCTATTATTCTGGAGTCTTAGGTACGTGGAAAAGTTGACGCACGTCGAAGTCCTGGGTGACTAATGTGCGTGTGTGCCGAACGTATAGATTGCCGCCCACGCGTCATGGGGGCGTGCGTGAAACCTTCGCGGTTAAGTTGCGTGCGCTAGGTGCGCGAATGTCTTGAAGGGCGCTCTGGCGAGATAACGAAACTATCAGTAGCGGACGGGTCATTAGGTTTCAAGATGACGGCAGGCTAAGGTAGCCTTAGGCTTTCGAAAAGTGGCGGCTTGGGTCTGCTTTGTAACGTCGAAGACAGGGTGCAATATCCAACGGGGCTGTACTTAAAACGCCGTGCGGCCAAGGGAAAGTGTTCAGTGCCCGCACTACGCTCGCAGACAGCAGCTGACTCCCCGTTGGTCTCATCGGGTCCTAAACGTCGTCCAGTGAGCATCCTAAAAATGTCGTTCTGTTTACACAATGAGGACGTCCTTAATTCCATCCCGAAACAGCCCCGACTACAAATTCGGATCGCAGCGTACGAGTCGTTTTGCTGCTGAAAATGCGCGACGACCTTGCGACAAAGCATGCTTCTTCGGCTTGAGCTTATTTTACTGTAGAAGTGTCTTCGTAGCACAAAAAAGACATGCGAAAGTAATTACAGCACGCATGCGAAAGCTCAATGCAGAGAATGCTGGCGCTGCATCTGTGTACGTGAAACTTATACATGTGTCTCGGACGCGTTAGGTATGCATAGTTCTCACGTTTGCGTGCCCAGTGCAACCACGTTCGTGTAACTACGTTTCTACAGTAATTGGCTTCTTTACGGCCTGTTACGCCGTGTTAGTGCAATGTCACAAGTAGTGAGGGTTTGGTCTCAAAACACACACACACACACACACACACACACACACATCCACACACACACACACACACACACACACACACACACACACACACACACACACACACACACACACACACACACACACACACACACACACACACACACACACACACACACACACACACATGCACGCACGCACGCAGAACGTGTGGATTGTACGAACACACACACTGTCGGTTACCCGAGCGTTCGCCAACCATCACGGCATCTCCCGCAAGTGGCGCCACCTGGCGGAGCCAGACGCACGGCGTCGAGTAGGCGTGGGAGTGATCGGTCCTGTGATGCCAGCCCCATTGTCCTTCGTGTGGTCGAACAAAGCCACCTCGGCGGCCCGTCATTTCCACGAGCGACATATTATAGTCCGCCGCGGCTTGGGAGGCGTCTCGTGAGCAGACCACGAAGTCTGGCGCCGACCGAGTGCGAAATAGGCTGGCGCCGCCAGTCCATTGTGTGCGCCTTCCTGTAAATAGACACTCGCCTGATTTGTTGGCCAGAACTCTGCTGATGTGCGAAACTGTGCAGCAGAAACGAGTAATATATTAGGATGATGCGGAGGCTATATCAGTTGGCAGGGGTATACGTTATACGACGGTCAAGCCTCATCTCGTGGCCAAGAACAGTCGCAGTAACAGCCGTGGAGGCGTACGTACTTACGTCGCAGACAACCATAATCATGTTATCTTTGCTTGCCCTGAGCGGAAAGGAAGGGGGACATGCTTTTTGGTAAGGTGTTTTATTAAATGTGTCAAAAAATCCTCAAAGATGAGGGGAATGCGATAGTTGCTCGATACCTTCATATTTTTTTTGTAGTGGCAGACATCTTACAATGAGTAACGACATCAAATATCATCATAGTAAAAAAAAAGGAAACAATATAGTTTGCATTTTTATTTTGTGGAGATAGGTGGCCGGGTCGAGCCCCTTCTGCGAAAACACCATTGCCGCCTAAGATTTTCAAAAAAAAGTGCTCCCAGTAAATTTCACGGAGTCATGAAAACCGACCACTTTCGCCAGGGAAACCTGAACACGGAGGACCGCACTTCCGAGATGTACAGAATAACCTGCAACGCGACCCAATCGTAATAATGAAAGCAGATTTTTCGTTCGGAGAAGGGGGCGGGAGGAGCCCTGTCGGAACGTGCTTCGGCTCGCTTATGCGAGATCAGTCAATCAATCAATCAGTCAATAATTTGTTAAATCGTTCTCTTGTGGCTAGCGTTACGCTATGCATGTCGGCGCGGCCTCCCAGCGAATAATCGACCCGCTCAGGCAACGTAGAGGTCGCGGAGAGGTGCACGCGTTGACCGGAAGCCCACTCCATTAGCGGGTTCTTCGTGAGGCATCTTCTCTATAGTCACGCGTTTTCGAGCAACTTTCAAGGCGAGCGAACCCAAGTAAAGTACGTCGCACTCCACTCGGCAGGGTGTCTGTTTACTTGCATGACGCGGCGGCCGTCTCTGATGTTACTCTTCGCTGTATGCTGTCACGAACAAGTGGCGTGGCGCCGGTGTCGAGGGGCGGTTCGCGCTGATGGCGCCCGCTGCCGGAGGTGGAAATGGACACTCATAACACTGTTAAAGGCAAACCACGCACGTGAAGGTCGCGACGTCCCAAGCGTAATGACGCGGAAGAAGCGAGTGAAAAGTAACCGCCCCACATAGACAGGTGCGGCTGGTCGCCGAAGGTTTTCGAGGCCCTTGTCGCACACCACATGACCGAAGGTGTCGCGGTGTCTTAAGTACAAGCCCCCGTGGTGTGTGCTGGAGGTAAAGTGTGGCAGCTTGGGCTAGTTGGTATGGCATGACGATAGTTATAGCGCGAGAACAGAACGACGACACAGAGTGTCCTTCTTGTCTCTGTGTCGTCGTTTTGTTCTCGCGCTATAACTACCGGAGGTAAAGTCGTGCTGTATAGATGCTGGCTTGCAGAGAGCTTTTGCAAGAGTCTTACT